TCAGCAGGTACCTGCCGTGCCCTTCACCCCAGCACAAGATCATCAGGTTGAACTTTCCATTTCCCTCATTCACAAGATTCCTGGTGTATCTGTAAAGACACAGTAAAAGGACTTTAATCAGTCAGTTCAATGAAAAGACCTCCTTCCTGTCTGTTGTTGTTGGTAAATGCAACACGTCCTGCTGACGTCACGCTGGTCATTAATATTCATGTTCGTTTCAGTGAACTGAGAGGAAGTCCTGCATGCTGGAAGCTTGCTCTGGGAATGTGATGCAGCACTGAGAGCAGCGGGTGTGCGCCAGGAGCCGTGCTCTGATTGGCCCGCGTCGACCCCGCCCCCTCAGCCGAGGCCACGCCCACTGGCAAACATCAGCGGAGGAAGAACTCCAGCATCGCATCCAGTTAAAAACAAGAGAAAACTGCACTTTTGGTTGAAATGGAACGAGAAACAGTAATGCTCTATTCTCTGCTATAAAGAAGAAGTAAAAGTCGACTCATTAAAACACAGTTCACCTTAAGTTTGTGTTAGACTGAAACGTTTGCAACATAAAATTAAAATTTTTCTTATGTTAATTTCTCAGTTAAAACGTTAAAAAATAAATAAATAAGTAAAAATAAACAAAACAACCCTTGTGATTATAAGACTTAAATGCATCAACTATGGCAAAATAACTGTCTACACATAACTATTCTGAGATTGATAATAATAATAATAACAATAACAATAAAATTACCTGTACTGGTCAAATTTGGCATATTTCATCCACTCGTGAGGTTTACTTTCATAGGACTCCATGATGTTCTGCACCTCCTCCACATTGACGCTGTCGCTTTCAAAGAGCTTGTGGAGAGTTTTGATCAACTCCTCCAGAGTCTCCGGCTTCATCACCTCGGTCTGCTCCATCTTCAGTGCTGCTGCGCTGTTTGTTTAAGGCTCTGCTGGAGTTCAGGCTTTTATACATTCAGCTGAACTGTAATGGACGAGACCACTGCCGCAGAGACGCAAAGCTGCAAAACTTTACTGTAAACGTGCACTATCATTAACACTTGAACATTTGAACACTTGAACATTGAACACTTGATTTATCTTGAACACTTGAACATAAGAACATTGACTACGTTTACATGCACACTCACAATGCGATTATAATAGGATTTTTGCGATTAAACTTCACCTCATAAACACTAGTACCAGAAGAAACCATCATTTTGAAGCTTTGAATCAACTGAACCAAATTGCTTCACAAGATGATTCACTGTTCAGAATCGCTCTGATGACTCTGCTGGTCAAAATGGTGTAAATGCATCAAAAACTCGTGCGTAAAAACACAGCTTTTACAAACACACTAAATGTGTAATGAATTAAATGCAATTAATTAACAAATAATCTAATACCATTAAATATTAAGTATCTGTATAATATTTGCTCTTTTATCTATTTTCAGGACTTGTTTTCTTTTCTTTTTTTCTTTTTTAATTATACAGATGTTATTAAAATGTCATAAAATGTATATAACTGATCTGAAATCAGCTAAAAACTATAGACGCTTGTTCACTGTTTCACCGCTGAGGGGCGAACCATTGAATCCCGAACTGAATCAAAAGACCCTGAAGATTTGCGAACCCGATCTGAATCAAATGATCTGCGCTCCGAAGTCCCAATCTGAATCAAATGATTCACGATACGCGCTCCGAAGTTCCGATCTGAATCAAATGATCCGCGATACGTGCTCCGAAGTCCCGATCTGAATCAAATGATCCGCGATACGTGCTCCGAAGTCCCGATCTGAATCAAATGATCCGCGATACGTGCTCCGAAGTCCCGATCTGAATCAAATGATCCGCGATACGTGCTCCGAAGTCCCGATCTGAATCAAATGATCCGCGATACGTGCTCCGAAGTCCCGATCTGAATCAAATGATCCGCGATACGTGCTCCGAAGTCCCGATCTGAATCAAATGATCCGCGATACGTGCTCCGAAGTCCCGATCTGAATCAAATGATCCGCGATACGTGCTCCGAAGTCCCGATCTGAATCAAATGATCCGCGATACGTGCTCCGAAGTCCCGATCTGAATCAAATGATCCGCGATACGTGCTCCGAAGTCCCGATCTGAATCAAATGATCCGCGATACGTGCTCCGAAGTCCCGATCTGAATCAAATGATCCGCGATACGTGCTCCGAAGTCCCGATCTGAATCAAATGATCCGCGATACGTGCTCCGAAGTCCCGATCTGAATCAAATGATCCGCGATACGTGCTCCGAAGTCCCGATCTGAATCAAATGATCCGCGATACGTGCTCCGAAGTCCCGATCTGAATCAAATGATCCGCGATACGTGCTCCGAAGTCCCGATCTGAATCAAATGATCCGCGATACGTGCTCCGAAGTCCCGATCTGAATCAAATGATCCGCGATACGTGCTCCGAAGTCCCGATCTGAATCAAATGATCCGCGATACGTGCTCCGAAGTCCCGATCTGAATCAAATGATCCGCGATACGTGCTCCGAAGTCCCGATCTGAATCAAATGATCCGCGATACGTGCTCCGAAGTCCCGATCTGAATCAAATGATCCGCGATACGTGCTCCGAAGTCCCGATCTGAATCAAATGATCCGCGATACGTGCTCCGAAGTCCCGATCTGAATCAAATGATCCGCGATACGTGCTCCGAAGTCCCGATCTGAATCAAATGATCCGCGATACGTGCTCCGAAGTCCCGATCTGAATCAAATGATCCGCGATACGTGCTCCGAAGTCCCGATCTGAATCAAATGATCCGCGATACGTGCTCCGAAGTCCCGATCTGAATCAAATGATCCGCGATACGTGCTCCGAAGTCCCGATCTGAATCAAATGATCCGCGATACGTGCTCCGAAGTCCCGATCTGAATCAAATGATCCGCGATACGCGCTCCGAAGTCCCGATCTGAATCAAATGATTCACGATTCGCGCTCCGAAGTTCCGATCTGAATCAAATGATTCACGATACAAGCTCCGAAGTTCCGATCTGAATCAAATGATCCGCGATACACGCTCCGAAGTCCCGATCTGAATCAAATGAGCCGCGATACGTGCTCCGAAGTCCCGA